ACATATACATAGGAATACAACTGGATGCGGCGATTCGTCAACTTCATCAGTGCCTTTGTGGTAGCAGTGTCGACGAATTTGGGCTCCATGTACTATCATGTAAGAAACGAGCTGGTAGCTTGTCCCGTCATGGTTCTTTGAACGATGTTACCCGAAGAGATTTTGTTTCTTTTTCTCGGTTTTAGAGCCTTGTGTTATATTTATAGAAAAAATGGCAGACCCGACGGTATGATTTTAATAATAATAATTTGGTCCCTTGGGAGAGAGGTAATGGCCTAGTGTGGGAGGCTACATGCTTTGGTAGCTTCTCATCTCAGGTGAACTTCGTTGAGGGCCGGAGCGGTATCAGAGGCAGCAAAACTAAATTGGCATAATATAAGTCTTTGAGAGAAGAAAACATACTTACTTTTACTTACTTACTTACCATTTTCTGTAGAGATTATCGCTTCGTGGGCGTGGACCCCACCCAGTCGCAGTAAAGTTCTTCAAGGAACTTTATCCGCGACTGATCTTTGCTGCTGTTCAAAGGCTAAGTATAGCCATTCAGCAATCATTCAACGAGCAGCGAGCCAGCGTTCTTGGCTAGTGCCGGTATAGTTACCGCGGGCAGATGTATGATAATTAAAGTTTTTATTTTTAGTTTTTTTTTTAATTATGATTAATTAAATAATGAATATTATGTGAATAAATGATGGTGTTTCTTAAATTAAAATTATATGAAACGTATTTTATTTTTTCGAAATAAAATTCCTCTGACCGGAAAAGAAGTGACGAAAGAAACTTCTATCATATTATACTATCCTCTTTCTCGTGACTTCTTAAAATTAATATTACTTACTGCAATACGTACAAAACGATAACAAACCCATCAGTAACAGAAATATGTTCTATGCTTTACTCAAAGAAGATAGTTAAAATTTTGTAGTTTATCAGCGGAAAGCAAACAAGAGAAAAGAAACCCCCCACAAGCAGCACTTTCACATATGCTGTGTAGCAGCCATAGCCATCCTCGACCTCAATCCTCAATTAAAATAAAGTGGACAACCTGTCATAAGAATGAAAAAAATGTTAAATTAAATCTTATCTATAAACACCTTACATGTTAACAACTATAATATGTTCAACAAATTAGTAAACGTTCAGTAAATAGATAACCCATCCTTTCATTGTTGACTTACCACGCATTCGAACCAAACGGTTTGCTACGTCGTTCGTCATACGTATAGCGAAGGAGTGGAATAAGTTGCCAGCATCTGTCTTTCCATCATCACAATGTGGGTGTCTTCAAGGCAAGAGTGAAAAGGTTTTTGTTAAATCAATTCACTTTGCCACCTAAAGCTACATCACCACTTACCATCAGGTGGGATTGCAGCTAAGTGCTAACTTAGAAAAGTTAAAAAAATCTAAAAGAAAATTACGTATGAGCAGTAAACACGTGGAACTTAATATAAAATAACGTGATATAACTCGTAGTGTTAATATCTCTGTGGTTCTTGTTTAAATGCTTGTTGAAGTTTTAACAGTGTGCAACAGCCATTACTCGAGCGAATTGTTCCTTTCGCATATTATAAGATGATTATGTAGTCCAGTACCGCTTTAGTTGCCTAGGATGTTTAAATAATACGAAGAAACATAGGTAATTCATTTAATAAATTAAAAAATACAAGAATGGTATTTTATAAATATCTAAATTACATTGTTGTAATACTATTATAAATATCTAAAAATAACAAAACTGTTTTGACAAAACTCGAAATACATTCGTAACCTACAGGGGGGGACATCTAGAATATCTTCTAATTTAATCATACGCTTTATTTATTGCTTATCTTGACTCGACTACACGTTTTGAGTTACTTGATCTCTAATTAGATAAAAATTAATTGCTGTACGTAACTAAAAAACGGTTCTACTGATTTTAATGAATTTTTTTGTGTGTTTGAATGGGTCTCTAGGTGATTTATTTCTCATTTGAACCCGGTAGGTGGAGCTTTTGTCGAGATCCAGAAATTACCCGTGCGAAGCCGGGCCGATCACTAGTTACAAAATAAAAACAGTATTTAAATCAATAAAAGTATTAGCAAAATGCGATCAAATCGCTTTCGAAACAGGAATATATTATATTATGAGACATATAACATGAAATCGTAGTGTATTTTTTGTCACAAACATTATAAAAAGTCTATTCTATAAATTTATTTTTACTGATTTTATTGCCTATAATTTATTTGTTTTTTTTTCATATTCGAAGTTTTATTATTCGTGTTTGATGAAAATTTTCCTGTGAGTGTTTGACGTATATGATGATAAGAAATAAGAATCGCATAGTTATAAAATACAGCTACGGAAATACAGATTTGAATTTAAAAATTTGAATTGAAAATTGAATTTAAAAAGAGGTATGTAAGGATCGTGACACTTGGCGATCTGTTCTCTCTGGCTACCCCGTTAGGGATTGTGCGTGAAGATAAGTAAGTAAGTAAGTAAGTAAATATCCAGATTGAGAGGTTACGTTTTTTCGAGAAAAATACCCCGGAAGAGAGGTGGGGGCGCGAGAGAGTACTAGGCACGGAACACTGCTTGTGCATAGAAGCCACTCGATAAGTTTTTAACTATTTTTGAATCACTCTACCTCTTAACCACTTTAATTCTTCCTATTCTTCACTGGATGCTAAATTTCATGTTCTTAAGGAAGAACTATAACATGTACGCAAGTGCACTTGTGTATGTACGTATTAATCTGTTTTCAAACTATTTGTAAAGGTTTTACCAGTAAGCCACACAACTAACTGTACTTATATATAAATACCTCAAAACCCTACCATTAATACTGCTAGTTAAAATGTTTAATATTTTACATAATTTTATTGCTATTATAGTTTAGTGCGACAATATGAAACAATTATTATTATACTTCAATTATTATAATACAAATACAAAAATGTGCTTGTAGCTAAAAAAGACAGTAAAGTATTTGGATATAATGTGTGTAATTTTATCGAAAATAGATTATTCATATTGAATTATACAAGATAAGTCATAAGGTAATGTTGGATCAGTGTAAATCCTTACTTTTTAATTTACATCAATACCACTTAAATTTAACAGGTTCTAGGAAAAAATTCATAAGATATTAACAATTATAGGTATTTTGGAGTCATTTTAAACTTCCATGAGGTACAAAATAATTGCTTATAATTCATTTTAAGACTAGGTAAAGAGGTAAATTTTTTTACATAATATATTTTTCAAAGTTGTCAAAATTATTACTATCAATAAATTGCTTGTGAAATTGGATCGTATATATATAATTATAATTTTAGAGAAAATTATATTATTATTTTATTTTATTTTAATAAAAGAAAAGGAAAGACCAAAACATCAATATAATTGTTTCTAGTCCTTAAGGGATGATGTACACGTAAATCATTAAATCCCTGAAAGCTTATTATATACGTACGAAGATATATATAATATTCCTTCTTAACATTAGTACCTACTAATATACCCTCCCCTAAATAGCCACACCAGAGAGCGGATTAAAAGAAGACTCCTCGAATATTTCACACGAAAGGAGTAAGAAATAGCTTAATTTACGCTGGATAACGCTACTCATTATCGAAACACATCGTTGTGATCCCGTGGTCATAGTACTCACGTACCAGTAATCAGATAGAAGAACGAAAACCAAGAATCGCGACTAAAATATTTCTACAAAATAAAACAGTTTTCTTGCTTTCCAATTTTGATAGTGACTCTGAAGATTGCTACCGGTTATCATAGCGAATAAGTGTAGGACGAGTAATTAGGGTATAAGTGGGTGCACAGTTATAACGGATAAGTGTTTCTGGTTTTTTAGACTACACTGTAGCGTATTATTTTCAGCACGAATGGCTCTACCGGAAAAAGGCTACAACTTTACGGAATACCAGCGTAACCTTGCGGCATATTGCTACCATATTTGGTAGATAATGCCCAAATACTTTAGGTCAAAGTGACTGTGACACCACGTGACTTATCAGCGTCTTATAATTGAGTAGCATTTGAGTATTTGGGTATAAGTGACAGAAACTGAAGACTTTTTTAAAAATTTGAAGGAAGCATTGCCTTTCAGTTTCGGGATACAATGCATCTGTATTTTCATTCCTAATTATGTTCTATTTTTAAATATATATATATATATATATATATATATATATATATATATGGACCTCTTCAGCGTTTACTTAGCAACGGAGGGACTATGTGCTCGTTTGTCACTCTTACTTATCTAAAAAATTCAGTCACTAAACTATATTTTTGTTATTTCGTACCTGTAAATATTAAGGAGTAGTTTCTTATTATTAATCCATTTTTTGTGTTATTAAAATTTTATTCACCTTGAAATTTTAAACTTACTAAGTATTATTTTAGTATAAGAGAAAAATCTAAATACATATACAGTAATGCTAATACCGATTTGATAAGTAATTAGTTTGTGCATTAAAATCTTAAAATAGTGTTATTACATTAACTTTAAATTTATAATCTAAAGGCAATTTACTATTAATAAGCGTATTGAGAAAATTCACAGTAGTAAATTTCCAGCAGCAAACTAGATTACCACTATAAAAAATGGAATCCAAAAATATCGGACGCTCTTCAATCATACTTTATCTTACAATTGGGAACGTTTTTCAGGCCGCACCTGTAAAACACAAATAAGAAAGAGTTATTCCTTATACAATGAATTAATATATTCAACTTATAGTCGCGGCTTTTGTCAAAAAATCATGGAATATTTCCGTTCATTAATAAGATGAAGCTTGTCTAATAGGTCGCTAATTATTTGTACATGCAAACTTTATAACGTATATATAGGTAATATCAAAGTTATATCAAAATCGAAAGAGGCTGGTCGCTTTTGTAAATTGTCTAATTAAATTATTAAGAATATAGTATGATAAAATATCATCCCGATACTGGTAAAATCTTTAAGTTCTTACCCATGATATCAAATGTTAGAATTGACTTTGTGTTGATGATCCATCAAATGACTCCTCGTTGATCAGTCGCAACTTCACCGATTCTCGCCTCAAATTGTAACTAGTCGAGATATGGCAATGCTTAACGTCAACATTAAGAAGATCTTCGTTTAATTCAACCCCACTTTTCTCCACATCAGCCGCGGCGCTTGGTTTTCTTTTATGTCTAAATGATGTAGCTCGATTCGAGCTAGATAGATAGCTGTCAGTTGTAGTATTTCCATTGAACGTCTTCTCAGATGGACCAACTCCTAATTGCTCCATCTGAATGTTGCCTCTAAATTGCGCAGAAGTTTCTATGCAGGGAATCAATTGTTTGAATTCCTTGCGGAAATTTTCATTCATCCATGCATATATGAAAGGATTATAACATGTCGAAGACATAGCGATGACGTGACCAATGAAAAATATGAGGAAGTAATATTTCAGATGAATCGCATAAATATAATAGTCATTGCAAAGATTAATAATGTTCAAAGGAAGCCAAGAGAGACCAAAAATTGTTACCATTGCAATCAACATCTGGTTTGTCCTACGCTTTCTGTTTTTATCAAATTCTTCTTTACGTGAATTTTTGCTCGCAGCTTTTGCTTTAGCTCTGTCATTCAATTTAAAACTTACACAAGTATAACAAAAAGCAATTACAATAAAAGGCAAAACAAACTGTAGTACCGATGTTACTGAACCAAAAATGCGACGTAGTTGCTCCGTTGGCCAGGTTTCCTCGCAAAACCTCCCAATGTCTAAGTCGTAATACGTCATATAAATCGCGTAGGGCAATGTCACAATAATAGCAAATGTCCATATCATAATGATGACTGTAATGCATGTCTCTAATTTCATTCTAGGTCTAAATGGATAAATAATTACAAAAAACCTGTCGATAGCAATCGACATTAATGTCAGTGTAGATATGTATACGCTGCATCCTTGTGCGAAAGGCATTATATGACATAACAAGGAACCCCAATTCCATGAGCCACGGAAAGAGTAAAGTGGCGTGAAAGGAACTGCAAAAATGCAAAGTAAAATATCGGAAAGGGCTAAATTGGTGATAAATAGATTTGTAACGGTTTGCATTGCTTTGTTTCTTATTACAACGAAGCAAACTAAAATGTTCCCTAAAAGTCCAAGAACAAAAATAATAGTATATAAGACACAGAATACACCTTGGATCCATTTGTTGTCAATGATATTCTCGTAGCCTAGCGTAACATTTGGATAAGTAGAATTGACAAACTCTTCGGTTTTGTTACCAATCGCTATAAAACTTAAAATGTTGTCTACGTTCATCGTTCTCAATTGAAGCGCGAGTAGCAGTTGTAATAGAAAACAATAACTTCTGAGACTTTCAGTTTTACGAGCGTCAGTGAAACTCAGTGTCGGACCTGTAAGAAAATATAAATTAAAATTTAACGCCTTCGTTTCGTAAATTTACAAAATAAACATAAATATTAACTGGAAATAATGAAATAGCCAATAGCTAATTAGGCTTAAAACAAACATTATTATTTCAGTTGCTCTCAAAAACAAAATAAAAGTAGGTAAATAATAATTATAGTGTCCTGCAGACTGAATTTCGGCCACGGCGGTTGATCCTAGAGAGAGAGTTTCCATTAACGCAGTACAGAACAGTGCCGAAGTGTATGCAAGGTCCAGGTGCACTCTTAACTCCCTCACTCTCAAAATCCGATGGGACGGCAATTTGACACGACCGGGGAAATCAGGCGAAAAACCAACGGTATTAACTGCTTTCCGTGACACGGTGATGAAACACGGCCAACTTCCTGACTCCGAGCTACTACTGAGAATTACTTGACAGAAAAACTCAATAAGTATTTCTAGTCCGACGCGGAATTCGAACCCGGGACTTAATAATCAGCAGTCGATTGTGCAACAACTAGATCAACGAATTAGTCAAGTAAACAGTAAAGTTATAGATTGTTTATACATATTACGCACGTTCCCTCACTGGCCTCATTTCTATGGGGATTATAAAGCAGGAAATAACTAATCACGCTGCTCCAGTTAAGCTCGTAAGTTCACCGAATTTCACGTCTAATTTACTCGATATATTTTTTTTTCAATAATGTTTTCCTTCACTGCCGAGTAAAAAGTTAATCAATAATTTAAAAGATATTAAAAGTTTGTATATACAACATGTCCCAAAATTCTACGATAAGCCAACACCGGAGGATAGACCCGCTCCGGACTAATCGGGGAGAAAAAAAGTATATATTATATTTTAGTTTATATAAAAAAATGAAATTCTTCAGAAATTGAGACCATTTATGATATTTTTCACTACCATGACCACAATTTTTTTTAATATTTGTTTCTTTTTTTTAATAGGCAACCTGAATAGCACTGCTATCTACCACAATTCTAAAAAAATCCAGAATAACTCTTGTTTTATCACGAAAATTAATGAAACTTATTTTATTTCCTAAATTTTTGAAGACTTTTACTTTTGACCAACTTTAACTTATCGTGGTGTAAAAAAAGTTTGAACACTAGTATGGCAAGTTTTTTTAAAAAATTCACGCAACTGACCAACATTCCAAAATGGTATAATACTCTAGGAAAACAAGTTATAAAAAATATGGGCCTATTATTTCTAAACAGGGGCCAAATTCCTTAAATTGTAATTGTCAGTAATCACTTTTACTACATGCCCAAAATGGGTTCCTGTTACAATTTCTAGGAATATGAATGGGACATACATACCTTAAATGTTAGGAGAGATAGATAGATAGAGATATTTACGTTAAAAAGTGACAACAACAGAGCAGGTAGAGAAGCTATTATTATTCTCAGCAAGTCAGTTCAGTACGCTCTGCTCCTTTGTTTACTGCGCACCGTTCCCAATTCAACTTACGTGGCTCTCGTACATACTATCGACTTTTGGCTTGGCTTTTTGGACTGAAATCGACCTGCAAACTTAACTGACCTGGCATTATTTGGACTGGAAAGTGATCTGCAAACTGAACTGACCTGGCATTATCTTGGACTATGATGTGTGTTTTGTGATTTAGAGTTCTAGCGTATTTTGGACTGTTTGGCGTTTAACATGCCTCAACCGTACACACCACAGGAATACGCTAATATGCATTTAATCTACGGAGAATGCCGATGTAATGCTAACGCTGCTAGCAGACTGTATCGAGAAAGATACGCAAATGCTCAAAGATATCCTGATTATCTAGTGTTTATTAATGTGCATCAATCGTTTTCGGAGGGTCGTATGCCATCCAATAGTAGAAGCGCTGGAAGATCTAGATTGGATCGTGATGAAGAAGTTCTCAATGAGATAGAAAATGATTTGACTACTTACTTACGTGCCATAAAAGAAGCTACAGGAATCCCGAAAAGTTCTGCACATTGAATATTAAAACGTCACAAGCTTCACCCATATCACTACAGGCGTGTGCAGACGTTATTACCGCGGGACTATCCGCTACGAGTCACATTTTGCCGTGTGACGCTGCAAAGCACAGTGAAGATCCCCAATTCCTAGATAAAATTCTAAGTTCGGATGAAACAACATGCAAGAAAGATGGGTATTTAAATCTTCACAACCTAACATAGTTGGAATAATGAAAATCCGCACTTGATGAGACAAGACAAATCCCAATATCAATTCAAGGTTAACCTATGGACCGGCTTATTAAATGGAAAAGTAATTGGGCCCTTTGAGTTACAAGGAAACTTAGATGGAAATAGTTATTTAAACTTTTTACAAAATGACTTGCAAGAATTGTTAGACGACGTGCCCTTAAATGATCTCCAAAACTTGTGGTTCCAAATTGATTTTGGTTGCCCAGCACATTATGCCCGTCCTGTGCAAAAATATTTAAATCAAGAGTATCCAGGGCGTTGGATCGGGCGACTTGGTCCTATCTTATGGCCACTTTGTTCACCCGATTTGAACCCCCTGGACTTCTTCTATAGGGGTTGTCTTAAAAATAGGTTCTACTCAAAACCCATTGCGACATTGGACGAGATTCGTCGAAATATCAGTCAGGCTGCTGATTACATTAATAGCAGAAGATATGTAAGACAAATAAAGCGATCATTTTTAAGGCGATGTCGTGCATGTATTAATACTCTGGCAAACAGTTCGAACATTTGCTATAATGTTGATAACTTAATAAATTACACGTGAAACTGTTTGTACCATTTGTTTTGAAATATTAAACATTTTTCAAGAACTAATACTTTTATTACACCCGACCGTCATTTGGCCCCTGTTAAGAAATAATAGGCCCATATTTTTTATAACTTGTTTTCCTAGAGTATTATACCATTTTGGAATGTTGGTTAGTTGCGTCAATTTTTAAAAAAAACTTGCCATACTAGTGTTCATACTTTTTTTACACCACGATAAGTTAAAGTTGGTTAAAAGTAAAAGTCTTCAAAAAATTTAGGGAATAAAATAAGTTTCATTAATTTTCGTGATAAAACAAGAGTTATTTTTGATTTTTTAAGAATTGTGGTAGATAGCAGTGCTATTCAGGTTGCCTATAAAAAAAAACAAATATTAAAAAAATTGTGGTCATGGTAGTGAAAAATATCATAAACGGTCTCAATTTCTGAAGAATTTCATTTTTTTATATACCTTAAAATATAATTGGGATATATTTTTTTCTTTTTTTCCCCGATTATTCCGGGGCAGGTCTAACCTCCGGTGTTGACTTATCATTGAATTTTGGGACATGTTGTATGTAAAAAAATGCAATAATTTGCACGCTTGTGATAAGTTGACTTAACAAAATATGAATTAATTAAATTACCAGTTCTTTTGCAGAAAATAGGTACGGCTTTCCTTAACTTTCCTGAATAAAATTTTGATTGATATATCATAACAAAGTAAAAAAGTAAAGTTACAAAATTAATACGCCCCACAGTTGGGCTTAGGCCTCTTCTAACTCTGAAAGGGTTTTGGGGCAAGGATATGTCTTCTGAATGAAAATGTATTTTTTATTTCTTAGACATGTAGGTTTCCTCACAAAATTTCTCTTCACCGTCAAGTATCAAATCAGTACTTAAAATTGCAACTAACATTTTAGATAGTGCTAAAAGGTATCGAACTACGGTGTACTGGTAGCGTGTTCTTACCACCTGAACTATCTTAGCTAGCTACCCTAGCTCCCTATTATTTAAAGTGACAAATGTTTTAAGGATTTAATTTATTTTTAATTTAATTTTTGAATTTATTTAACTTCGATTATTTTGAAACATAATAATAAACTAAAAGCTGCAGTCTTCAGCAGGTGTACGAACGCGTACATACAACTGAACACAAAGACGTGACTTATGTGATTTCAATACAGTCCGTTTTAAAG